TGTTGTTTTTATATACATTTATTTCTTAATGATGTTTGTATCTTATTAACCAATATACACTTTGATATCAACTTCAAATATAGATATTATTGCAAAGGTATTATTTAATATTCTCTTTTCTTTCAATTTTAAAACTACTCTTATCTTAACTTTCACAGCCAAGGGACACTATTTTAATTTAACTTTCACATTTAAATAAACAGAGCACTTCCTTCACTTCCATGTTGTGTTCCATTCTTGCTTATGTACACACTTTTAGACATTAAAGGTAGGGTAGGTAAGTTTGAGAAACCAGCTTGAGTGCGCTAGAATTTGAAAATACACAACCGGAGAAAATCTGCCACTTCCTCACAGAGCCCCTCCTCCAACACACACGAACCATGAGGGCACGAGATAAGTTTGTGCACAGATGGAAGGCTGACAGGCAGGTAGGCCATCCAGTTATTTTAGCCGGGCCGGCTCAGATGATTGGTCGTGCTTTTTACAGTACTACAGCTTCCACAGATGATATTTTTTTATGGATTTTTTGTCAAAGCACTTAAGATATTCATTGCTATCGGGATGTTAAGAGCATTCCATGGAATATAACAACAAGTGTATCTCGAGCCGGTTTCTCAAACTTACCTACCCCACCTTTAATAAGACTACATCATTGTATGTTACTACTCTATATTACTCTTACGACTGCAGCCACAACATACGGGAACGTTTTACATTGCAGCACGCAATTTCAATTTCAACAGTGTCAAGCTATGCTTGGATTGTGTTACATTTTTAATTATGCAATACTCATTGTGTACACAAAGTGTTAACTGTTAATTGTTGAGTGGTCACACATTTGCATCTTATTGTACTTTAACTTTAAGATTATCAGGGTTTGAACTGGGACTCAGGATACTGATTTATTTGTATTTTGTGTTTGTCTATAAAATATTGTTCTGCTTCTACTGTGTAACCCTTCCTGGTAAATACATGATTCTGCAAAAGCTAAACTCAGCATCTAGGTTTATGAATGGCATACAACTAGATGCTGTCATCAGTAATGTTATAGTTGTAGTTATATAGTTGTTTCCTTTCCATTTCTTTAAACGGTAAATATATTATTTTGTCATTACAGCTTGAGAAACTCCATGCCATTGGCTTTAAACCAGTGCTGCTTCTTGGCAAGGAGACCAGGAAGAAGGAGGTCAAATGTGAAATCCTAACCCCTCGCTGCACACTGACCGCCTATGCCCAGGATTACCTTGACAAGATAGGCACTTTTTATGAGTTCCTTTGTGAAGGTGAGATGCTTGCACTATATCTTCACAGTTCACAGTATTGTGTACACAAAATGTTTGTATCAATGTTAAACTCTTCTAGGGATGGTTCACCCCTAAAACATGCTCAGTCAACGAGTCCTTACCTCCCTGACAGTATAAACGTTGGAGAGCTTAACATTTCCTTATAACCAACACAGTTATATGGAATGAGTTTGGATCAACTCATTTAATAAAGTCAGTTAAGTTAACAACAACTTACAGCGACTGTTTTCAATCCATCCAAATCTTGTGGGACAACAACTTGATCCAGTATTTATCCTTTGATACAGCCAGAAAGCATTCATTCGAGCCATTTATTTGGGTTTGGCAAACTATATTTTTGTGAGACAACTAACACACATCCTTTCTACCTGTTAACTGTCACTATTTTTAGCTGCAAAGTATTACAAAAGTTGAAAGTAATTGCAAAATATTTAGGGATATGGACAACGTTTGACTGTTTATTATTTTAGCAAACTACATACAATAAATACATTTTTAAACACTGAGTATGTAGCCTAATGAGACATGGCTTACTCTGCAGAGGGGACTTGTGGACATTTAACTGTTATTTATCAGGAAATAGGTAGGCAAGTTTACTTGAATTTGAAAAACCATTTTGGGGTATTGCAGGGTTGCCAACTTTGGGTACCTGGCTGGAGTGAGATTTTGATATCATGGGTTTAATTACACATATGCGCACTAAATGACTGCTATCATGTCAGTAGCGGGACCTTAGCATATATATTGGATATATATACAATATATGCAAATACACAATATTGGACACAGACTATAAAGGGCACAAAGTTTCATTCACTAATGAAAGTCAAACACATGTTTGTTTCCACTGTTTTATTGTGCCTGTCGCGATAAGCAAATAATTGACTTATCGTACGATAAATAAAAATGAACTCGATAAATTGCCATTTACATGAGGATGTGACAAGCAGTTTGAAAGGATGTACTTGAATTATTATTATATATTATCATTATGTCAGTGGTCTAAAATGGTCATACAACGGTGCCGACAATATTATCGTTTATCGCAATAATTTCCGGGAAAATGTATCCAACAAAATTAATTATCGTGAGAGGCCTATACATGAAACACACACACACACAAACAAATCTACAGACTTACTCCAAACTGCCAAATATATTAATTAACACACTCTCACTCTCATATACTCTTTGACTCTATTTTGGCCTAGTAGAACAATAAGCAGCAGACTTTTACTTTTTATCATTTCTACTGGACCTTAGATCTGCGCATGTGCAATACGGGTCGGGGATTGACCAACCGGCTCCCACTGCTCTGCTGTCTGTTAACGTTGTTAAGAGTGGTGGGGGCGGGGAGGGAGCGGATTGACAGCTTGAGCAGCTGTCAACTCAACATTGTAAATAACCAACCAAAAATGATCGCCGGTTCATCTTGTTTTTGGCGTGAGAATAGGTTGGGCAGCGTGAGAGCGTGAGATTGAGAGTGAAAGCGTGTGTCACACGCCAGATGCGTGAGAGTTGGCAACCCTGGGTATTGTGCTACCACTTGCGCATTCATTGTATACAAATTGAAAGTTGTTAATGTCAAGGTAGTTGGGTTTGATGACTGAAATGTAGTTTTAGGCTTGAGCCATCCCTTAAGCAATTTCCTTTTAGCAAACCGTTCCTAAACTGTTTGCTTTATCAACGCCCAAAAGGGAGAAATGTTTTGAGGTTAATGGTAAGAGCACAATACATGAAGACGATCCCAGTTGACCACATATTCAGTTTGGCAGTTCTGTATTAAGGTCATGTTTCTCGGGTTGTAAACAAAAGCAGTTATCCAGTGCATCCAGAGGTCCCTTTACATTACATTTAGCAGACGTTTTTATCCAAAGCGACTTGCTACTTATTTGATTGCACTTATGCAAAACACGTTTGCGTCAGTCTTATAAATTCTGAACAAAATGTGTGGATGTAAATAATGTAAGGGAACATACATGCACACGTCTATATGTTGTCTACCGACAAATTGACATGTCACATCACATGGAATGTAGACACAAATCGGAAGAATAATATCGCAAAAACAAAACCATAAATGGTTGACTGGATAAATACCACTATTACTGCTATTAACTTTGACTGCACACAGTCCTACGACATGACGAGTATATTTTTGACCCTGTCTGGAAACATACCTTAAGCACGCTGTATTTCTTATTTCTAGATATACGAGTTAACCTCTTTGTCTTAAGCAAGTCAAGACCAACATTTGTTTAACTTGCACAGGTTGGACACAGGACTCCACTGGCCAGGGGGTTGCGGAAGATCCTGAGGAAGAGACAGTCACGCTGAACCTCACACCCTGTGACCCATCTGAACCAGAAAACAACTGGCAGGAGGCAGGGACGTCAGAGACAAGCACTGTGCAGGTGGAGGTGCTGAAGACCCCCCCCGTGAAGCAGTGTACCACCAAAGAGGTAGGGCAGGAGGCAGGGACGTCAGAGCCAGGTGCCAGAGACAAGCACCGTGCAGGTGGAGGTGCTGAAGACCCCCCCGTGAAGCAGTGCACCATCATAGAGGTGGGGCAGGAGGAGCAGCCCCAGCGGGATGATCTGAGACAGGCTACCACCACGGAGGGGCCCGGTAATAAAATAGATAGATCGAATCGGAGGGATGAAACCCTCTTTAATGGTCACACATGCAGAGCACACAGCACACACAGTGACATTTGTTCTCTGAGATTTGCAGCTTTTATATTTATGAAAGTCAAGAGTGTTTTCCAATATCTTCCTAAAAGATTATTGTAGGTAACTTGTTGACAAGTCATGCTTCTACAATATCTCAAAACACCTAATTGCACTTCTTGCATTTTTGGGAATAATGATTGTTCCAATAGGTAAATAATAATAACAACAATAGCTTAATCTAAATAACAATTTCACCTACAACTTCATAAATATGAAAGGAAAATGGGATACTTGGGTATGTGTATATCCTTAGGTACTTGGATATAAATAAATATGAAACATTTAGAAAAATACAGTCTTTCATTCCTGAACAGACATGTGGTTACTATATGGTTATACCTTTTTCACACAAAAATGCAAAGCAACAGCAGGCTTACTATACATTTGATAAATCACAAAATAAAACTCATGTCATTTTGTTTACACACAGAAAGGGTCTTACATTGTAGCGTTGGGCAGTAGGTCGATTACATCAAAATGATTTGGCACTTGTCCATATATTGTACGAGAGGTTGATATCATTAATATTGTGGTCTACCTAAAGCAATCCCTGACCCTAGGGGTAAACTTCGAAGCAACTCATGCAACAACGTCATGCAGCATATTTAAACTTTATACTCAAGAACTGCATTTAGATATGACACTGTCCCATAATGAATATACGGGGAATAAACTTAGGTTTTTGAATCAAAGTTAAATTCATTTAACGTTACAGCACAACATGTTAATATTTATCAAACTATTCCTTACACATAAAGTAGGGAGTCAATTATATAGGCAAGACAACAAAACACCTAGACTTCATAGATCAACCTCAATTAAATCGCAATAACAAAAAGATATCTGTACCTAACACCTATTGCCACCTCATGTGATGCTGCATTTGTGGGATGTATTTTGAAACTTGAGTTTAAGCTTAACTTGGTATACTGTATGTATATAGTAATATTTCTTCTTCAACCCACAGCTGTCAGGACAGGGTCCGTGAGGGACACAGTACTTGGTCCTAGACGCAAAAAGAAAAAGTCAGGTATGTTAACAGTATTAAGTATTTTGACTGATTATAAACATGTGCATGAGTTGAATTGATTGGTATTATAATAAATCTATCGACATGTACTTTAGCAAAGTGCATGTAAACGCAGTGATTGATGCTTCTTCAGTGAGTTAACAAAGCTATATTGTGACTAATAACTATAACTGATACATTATCCAAAAATCATTATCCAAAAATCCAAAGGGCTTTAATTGTCTAATTAGACTAAAATACATACAGTCATAGTTGATAAGGTGGTGATGAGAATGCTAGGCAGTAAAGGAAGCAGCAGTGCAGTATTTTCTTTGGTCATCTCAGGCTCAGCAGTGGTATGGCCATTCAAACAAGCATCCCATTTTAGGACCGAGAGCAGCTTGGTTCCATTTCAATGATGTATAGAGTAACTTTTGACCAGTGATAACAGTGTGATCACTATTCATCGTGCAAGTCTGGTTGCTACTTAAGTGTTCATAGTTGTATTTATTTTATTTCTAATATGACTAATACTGTATGTGGAACCTGCTTTGATGTTCACAGATTGCTCCTACCACACTCGCCTAGAAACTTTCCCCATCAGGAGTGTAATAAGAGAAGGAATGAGAAAGGTTAGACAGGAATCAAAGTAATGCATAGGGTGTGCTTTATGATTTATGTGATTTCCACCACAATTGTTTGCTAAATAGCTAATATGCGTTTGGTCTTTCCGAAATTAGAAATTTGTTTTCTTCTCTTGATAGGGAAAAGCAGAAATGTTGGTGGAGTGGGAGCCCTGTCCAGTATGGTATATATCTTCCAGTTACTTGGCTTCATGTCATCTGATGTAGTCCCATGTTGGAGAACAAACACATGATATTTAACAAATGCAAAACATCCAGATCTACCACCAGTCCTCTTATATATTTCACTGCTGTTATTCTGAAGCAGCTGAAGTAGTGTAGGAACAAATGATTGTTTAACTTCATTGTTGTTAATGTATGTATTTTGGTTTGTTTTTATTGTTTGTTTGAAAATGTGTTTTCATTTCTATGTTCACTTTTTCTAAATGGTGGTGGTCGTTAATAAATGGAAAATGAAACATTTACTTATATAAATTGAGTTATAAGATGTTTGCTTCACACATGTTTTATGCTTTTCGGAAAGACGAAACCAGTACCTGTAACTAACATTATTCCATTCTGTTTTCAGTGGCAAGGAGTGGGCTCATTCCTGGCAGCCGAAGAATTCTCCGGGATAATGCATAAAAATAAAAACTGTTATTTGAACTCCAGTTTTGTTTTTGCACGTTTATTCTCTTATTTATATGCTCCATTTGAGTCATATTTAATATGTTTCTATTAGAAATAAGATGAAAACCTCCACCAAAATGCATTTGACTTTTTAGGAAATTACAGTTGAAATACTACATGATTTCATTGTCAGTGATAGGAACACCATAACCTATATTAAGCTTATTCATGTGTGAAATCTGGTACGTTGCCATCCACTGCCTTATCTAATTTGTTTAACTTCCGAAGTATAACGCTTTGGAGGTAGGCTTGCATATCATTTAATTATAGGCCTAATTAAAATGATCCTGATCTGGATCACTGTGGTTTTGCTACTACATTTGAAAGCTTTTGGGGACATATTTAAATGCTTGAGATATTAAAATGGTAGTGATTACTTTGAATTTTCTTTTTCACTTATTGAAAACCACAACTCGAGTATCAGGATGGTCTTTATCTGGAAAGCTATCCACATCTCATCCCCACGTTGTCATGGCGACCCTTTGTCACGTCACAGATACGGTACCCGAACTCAGATCTGCTGAACACGTAACATGAACGTGCCGGGCGGCGCGGTCCCGTGGGTTAGATGCACGTTCATAATGCAGAGGGAAATAACTCTCAGAATAACGTTATTAGCACATTTTTACAACTTAAGGAACGAATGTTTTTAATAAGGGCTATACAAGTGTTCATACTTTATTATTTAGTTTATTTAGTTTAAAAAAAAGTATCCAACGATTTACAGACCACTCTTTCCCCATGTAAGTCAATGGGAAAAAGTGTTTCCGGGCCTGGCAACCAAAAGGAAGTGTAGTACCGCCGTTTGGCCAGCACGAATATTTTCATCTGAGTCCGGCGCACTTCCTGGGGGCTTGGTCCACGCACACACGCCGGAAGAACTACAAATATGTCAGCTCTGTGTACTTCGTAAGGATGTTTGGGCGCGTATCTAATGGGAATTGTAGTTTGTAGCGCTGCTCTCATATCATTTCAATGGGTTAACTTTCTATTCTTCTGTGTTTTTGTATGTTTTGAGCTGAGGTGCCAACTCAACATACAATGTTAAAAAAAACATATAAAGCCAGAAACGTAGGTGTAGCCATGGACTCTGACCTGAGTTTCAACAGTCACATTAAAACAATTACTAAATCAGCCTACTATCACCTAAAGAACATATCTAGGATTAAAAGACTAATGTCACAGCAGGATTTGGAAAAACTTGTCCATGCTTTTATCTTCAGTAGACTATTCTTATGTTTATTTTTCTTATTCTATAAGTAAAATAAAATGTATATGTAATTGCACATTATTATTTATAGAAGCCTGTTTCCCCAATAAAAAAGACTTTCCCAATGAAAAGTCATAATTATGAGATAAAAAAGTCATAATCTTTTGAGATAGAAAAGTAGAAATAATGAGATAAAAAGTCTGTGCTGGAGATTTGACAAATGACAGAAGCACAAACACTGTTTGTTTGAGTTTAGAGCTTTGTGCCCAGCTCTCCGCCACCATCAACTCTGAAGATTCTCTCCCTGCCCGGCTGATTTAACCTACTCAACAAAGATACATGTACACAGTGGCATAACAAGGTTATGATTGGCACCGGTGCAAATATTGTTTTGGACCTAATTAATTTAGGTTGCTTGGTTACTTTGAAGACTGCGTGAACCCGCCAATGCCATTGGGCCCCTGGCCGGCCCTGGGCCCCGGTGCGTTGCACCGGCTGCACCGTCGATAGTTACACCACTGCATGTACATCTATCAACATGAAGAGGCAAGTGATGTCTCTCATAGTGGAATCTGGTTCTCACTAGGTCTGAGGTCACCTGGACGTACTCAAGAATGATGCAGGAGCACAAAGTACCAATGAACTGGCCAGATGTATGGAGAACCGGGATGACTGGAAGCGACGATGGAGGGCTCGTCTGAGGACGACCTAGAGAGAGGTCTGGTCAGGCAAGAAGAAGCCATAGATTGTACTTAACATCAGCAAGAGTGTACATGTAACCAACATGAATGGAGGCTTATTTCCATGGTTTCCTGGGCATCGCTGTTATAGGCCCGAAAGAGACGGAGGGAGAGTTTACATATTGTACAGAACCGTGTGACAGCCCTGGGGCTGCTGCCTGTTCCTCTCAGGGAGAGAAGAGGTCAATAATCCAGCAAAGAAATACAAATCAAATTCAAGTTAAAGTAATTCCCCAACAACAGCCGCCTCATATATGATCTCATATGACCTCATTTCATGCTGGACAGCTGCGAGGTGATCAGGGGGTCTTTTATGGCAGCACGACTGTAGCGCATGCACACTTGTAAAAAAGAAAGTAAAAGAAAAATAGTTTCTTTTTTTAATATGAAATATCAGTCCATTCTAAGCACAGTAGCCTACAGTGTGTAGCATAGCTATGCTTTTAACCCTCCTGTTGTGTTTGGTTCAAATTTGACCGATTTACTACTTTCATCAATCATAACTTTTTTGTTTTACATTCGATTGCATTAAGGCATAATGATATCCTCCACAGTAGACATTTGAACATATTAAATTGCTGATCACCACTTTCATTGAACTTTGGATTATTTAGTCAACTTTGAAACACCCATGGTGTTCCCGCCATAAAGACAAGGAATTAGTAACCATCCGGATCAGATCAAACACACACACACACCAATTTGAAACATTTCCCGCTCTTATGTGCCCATACCCCCGGCACACCCAATACATGTTCAGTGTCTATTCTTTGTATATTTACTGCAGTTGTTCATGTATACCAGTAGTCTGATACAATATTTACAGTTCGAAAGGGTGTTAAATTACATTTGGTGATGATTAACGGTTTTTGTGTTAATGTAATAGCAGTTAAAACAGGACCGGTCAAATTTGACCGCGAACACCAAAGTAAGGGGGGGGGAAACAAAGACAATAGGAGGGTTTTAATGAAACCATTGCTTATGACAGTGATGATATTTTAAATCAAAAAACATATTCCCTAAAATGTGGAAGCTCTGGGTGCCATACAAATGAATAGTTGATATTTTTTTAGGGCCACAACTTTGGCACTAGAGCACCTAGTGTTATCAAACGCATTTCAATGGTGAAACTATCCAAAAATATTCCATATGACAATATTTTCCACTACGATGAAAGGCGTGTAAGCCAACAAACCTTATTCTGGTTCCATCATGGGTAACCCCACCCATCCTCTCCACCTGCAGCTGGACACAGATAACCCCACCCCACCCCTCTCCACCTGGACAGACAGGAGCTCCTTCTCCAACAGACTGCTGCAGCTCCGCTGTCACAGGAACCGATAGAGGAAAACATTCCTGCCCACTGCAATAACTCTGTACAACAAATCACCTCTGGCTGGAAGAGAACTCTCTGCTCCATAGCTTCTCTCTTCACAGTACATTTGACATATTCAGTGTAATATTTAATATTCCATCTGTCACATACTTATGTAAATATAATACCTTGCTTTATACCTTGTTATTGCTCATTTGTAAATTCAAAATGTATATTTTCTTCTTTATTTCTTGTCTTTTTATTGTATAATGCCATGTGTTTTAATGCTGCTGCAACGCAAAGATTTCCCAAATTGGGATCAATAAAGTTCTATCTTATCTTAAACTAACAACCAGTGTTCCAGATGAGGATCATCTCTTTACAAAAATATTCAAGTGCTAACTCATATTGTTACTTCTAAATGAATTTATTTCCAAACGCATTATAATGCAGTGTGATGTAAACAACAAAAAGTACCACAGAAGTATGCTTAATTTATATTTATTCATCAAACAACCACATCAATAACATTGTTTTTAAAACAATAAAATGGTCCTCTCTGGCAATGATTTACTTATGTGTTTCACCACAATACAAGTAAAAGGCCACCATAAGGGTGTATGTTGACTCTAGAGCGTTGGGGTTAGTCTAACATGAAAAGCATGGACAACAGAACATAAAATCAAGTTATGCAAAAGGTTATAACATACAGTATTAAGAAATCATACAACACAACCATTTTTTTAGGATTTAACTATGTATATTAAACATATACATTCTATGTGTAAATCAAATATAACAATTTATAACAATGTATTATTTGGTTTTGAGAACAACAATGAGGTGATTCACCAAATAAACTATTTGTTGTTTATCTCAATGTCCCTAATTATACATCCTAAAAGACTGTGCATTGTACATGTTGATTGAAGTACTTCAATCAATCAGGTTAATAGCTGGAGATCAAAAAGGAAATATAACTGACAAAGCAATAAAAGCAAGTAACGCAAAAGAAACAAAAATGAACAATTAGAGCAAAGCTGTTATTGGCCTGCAGTGTAACAGGTGCAGTCATATAAAGTTAATGACAGGTAAATCCTATAAGAGATCGAAAATAATAATGCATAGGCATCCTGTTCTGGGAAAAAAGGGAAAGACCTCCTGCTCTTGGACAATGATGTGCTCACTAAGTTGTTTGGTAACCAGCAAGATATACTTGGACATGTGTGTTTCAAAAAGGATCAAAAGTGAATGGTTCATTGCTCAGGATGCATTCCAGGGACGCTGAGCATTTTGTTCAATAACATTTAAGTTGTGTACAAGTGAAATGTTTGGCCTGATGCTGCGGCATAGGGAAAAGTCATATGGTCAACATATTCAAGGGTGATCTTCCATTGAGGAGTATGAATACAATCTCTAAATATAAAGTCAGTAAAGTATTTACATTTCTGATAGCACATCAAGTCTTGGCGGATATTCGTGCTTGAGAGCAGCAGCAATCTGGGGAAATACAGAGAAACAAAAAAGAGGGGCAGATCAGAACCCAAATTTGAGGTTTTTGAATACACAATGTATGTTTAGCATTAATGAATACAAAAGTAACAGCAACATGTCTAGGTTGAGGCTAAATCAACAAAGATACTGTACATTAATTCCTAAGTAAATTACCTAAATGATGTTTCCTTCTTCATCCTCACTGGTGTCTGGACTGCTTAGG